GGAGATGTGTTACCCAATGGGGGCTCAATGTACTAATATACATCCAATTCAGTTTAAAAAGTGCCAACAATTTCCAGAATACCGATTATTTAGTGGTGCCGTTATATGGGGGCTATTTCAAAACGTTGACCGATTTTTTTGCAATACGAAACATCATAGGAATAACGGCAAAGTATGTATGTGCACAATTTTAAAACTCTATCATAAATATTGCGGTTCCAACTGTAATTCAACAGACATACGGAAGTGTATAAATCGAAATAGAATTTTATTCTGATCAAGAATGTCGAGAATATTTCGAGGTGTTGCAAACGAAATGACAAATTTAATATACGCTCCACCTTACGGTATAAAAAGATCAAAGATTCAAATATCTGAAAACGATAAGGAGAATAATATTTAGAATAATATATACTTTGAAATTGTATTTAAATTAACAAATATTTATTATAAATTATTTTATTTTATATTATTTCTAATGTTCGGATTTTTTTTAAGTATATTTAATTTAAGTTAAATGAAAATGCTCATAAATTAAATAAAACAGTAACAGAAACTCATTTCCTTAAATCACCTTTTTTTATTCACCCTTTGACAGCAAGACAGCGAAAAAAAAGTAACCCTCAAAAACAAATTTCAAAATTGAGGTTACGACTTTTTTTCTGAATATTGCTCGATATGTCAAATGAACAGAACGACATATTGCATTTGTTGTTATTTATTCCGACACACAAGGTGAAGGTGATTTTTTTCTTTGTTGACTAAATATACCCTACCTTGTATATAGTATATGTACGTCAATAAATATACTCCATAGATTATACGCTATGGAATTGACATTTGAGATGGAGTAGATTTAGTAAAAACGCTCATCTTTTTATTTTTTTATTTGTATTATTATTTTTTATTTGTATTTGCGTTTTCTTTATCCATTTGACTATTTAATGATACAAAATAAAATTTGCTTGAGAACAATTTGGTTTGTTTTGTTTGCAATTCTTAATAAAACAGATGTTTAAATATCAGCTGATTTTCCACTAACATCATCATTAACTTAGTAAATTGCAAACACTCAGTAACACAACTGTCAAATTCAAAAGCCATAGAGGGTATCGGATAACAGGATATATATATATATATACGCAATTCCCAGCATTTTCATATGTGTTACACATATAAGTGGCAATGGCTCAATTATAGGAATGATGTGGAAGCGATAGATATATAAATTTGATAGATTTTCATTCATGTTTTTCAATTTTATTTTGAGGATTCGAAAATATTACATTTTCAAAATAAATAAAATTTGTTGACATTTTTCTGTCAAAGTTCCACGTGGTTGTTGTATCGTTTGTTGTACAACAACACTTGCTGTTTTCTTCTATTATTATACCAGGGTCGAAAATTTTATTTGGTTTTAAAATGTAATTTTTTGAATTTTCAGAATAAAATTGAAAAACATGAATGAAAATCTTGCATATTTATAATTTTATAGCTTCCAGATCTTTCACTCAATTGAGTCATTGCCATATGTAGAGGTAATTCATACAAAAAACGCTAAAATAGCGTTGAAAATAGGATTTTTTTCATTGCAAAGAGACTTGCTGCTTCACATTTTCCCATTAGGAAATTGAAGTAAATTGTAAATCGGAGGGCAACGAACTTCTGTTGATATTTCTTTGATTTGATAATCTATAATAGTTAATGCACGATTAATACTCTTTTAAAAAAATATAATTGGAATTCTCATGCCAATTCATGGTTGAAAACCCGACACGAGTTTTACGATACAATCAAATCAGCTGAGTATTGCAGATACTTGTATAATTGTACCATGGATAAAGGGGTAAACACGAGGATTCAGGCTTGGGATGTTAAGTTGCCTTTATATGAAATGTCAATTTATAAAGGAATATGATAGTCAAACCTCAATTTCCTTTATTCTTTTATTATAAATGAATCCAACTTAATATACTAATCCTGAAGTCTTCATATGTGATTCCCTCTTAAATTATAAAATACAATGTTTAGTTTTGAAATTCCAAATTCCTTAATTTTATGTTTATTTAACACTGCACTACTTGATGGTAATGCACCCAAATCGTCCAGCATCCTTTGAAATTAGTTCTCCCCGTTGAAGTATTAAATTTCCTTTCAACAAGAGATGCTTTACAGTTGTTATCTGCACACAACATCACAATGATTTACACATTCACTCGAGAGCAAGAGATGATATACTACTATAGTCACTATAGTCACAGAATCATAGAATATTTTCTGATGCGCATAATGAGTTGGTGGAATGTGAGTGGCATGTGTGTGGGTACGTGCAACGGAAACTGGTAAAGAAAAATGCCTCAAAGGTGTTAAATTCCAAACTAAGTGTAGATTTTGTGCAACTACATACATGCTTTGCTGGATATTAAGGTGGGTGATTAGGTTTCAGGTTTTCAAACGGACTTTATATATTTGGTCTGTTCCCGTACTGCAGGAATCTACTATTTTTTACTACGATAACCAATTTTCCTTTATGTTATCGAAGAAAATAGTAAAATCTAGCAGATTCTTGCAGTACGGGAACAGACCAATTATTTACAATTTAATAGGTTCAAATTTTTATATATTTTGAAATAGTTATTCGTGTAGCAGTACATTTACATTTAACCGGATTTCGTTAACCCAGTGGGTTTCAATTGTCATTTCCTTTGCATATATGTCAAATAAATCCTCATAAAGTAGGTTAACCCGGTAAAAAGTTCTAATGTACAAGGAGTTTAGAATGTTTGAGTTAGATTAAAGGGGGAAACACATACGAGGATTTAGGCCTGCCCTGTTAAGTTGGCTTCGTATGAATTGTCAATTTATAAAGGAATATTAGAGTCAAACTTGTATTTGGACGCCGTTCTCCTTTATTCTTTTATAATAAAATAAGCCTTATCATGCCAATCCCGAAGTCCTTTTATGTATTTACCCATTAATGACAAAAATGTTGACTTTGTTTGGAAGTTTACAGCAAACTTGAGAATCAGCTGATAACCAGCTGGTCTTCCTGGATGACTTTATTAACAGGTCTTGGTCATTTCATACAAAGCCAACTTAAGAGGCCAGGCCTGAATTCTCGTTTGAGTTTCCCCCAAGACCTGTAAATAAAGTCATCCAGGAAGACCAGTTGGTTATCAGCTGATTCTCAAGTTTGTGTGCAAATTCCAAACAAAGTCAACATTTTTCTCATTAAGGGGTAAACACACAAGACTTCAGGATTGGCATGTTAATGGTGTTTCTACACGATATGTATTTTACATATGTGCTGTCACTTTTTTACATATGGAAATCGAACTCGTCATGTGAAACATACGGAAATTTCAATGTGTCAAAACGATATGCAATTACATATGTATTTTTTTCGAATAGGACGCGCTCTATTTTCGTATGTGAAATCAGCTGTTTGAATGAAACACATTGTTGGAAGAAAATATTTCAATTGTAATTCAAAAAAAAGGATGAAAAGGCAACAATTACAAATTATTATTTCGTTTGTAGGTGTTTAATAAAAAAAATGATGTTGATTTAAGAAAAAAATAAAGTGTTTTTTTATTTATAGGTTATGTCATATGTAAAATACATATGCCGATTTGAACACAAAAATAAATGTTTTGTGTACACTGCTAATTTTGACACACATAAGGAATTACATATGGATGAAATAAGTGACAGCACATATGTAAAATACATATCGTGTAACAACACCATAAGTTGGTTTATTTGTAAAAGAATGAAGGAGAACGGCGTTCAAAATCAAGTTTGACTCTGATATTCCTTTATGACATTTCATACAAAGCCAACATAACAGGCCAGGCCTAAATCCTCGTGTGTGTTTTCCTTTTAGAGGTGACCTTAATAAAATATCTTGGTTTTCCCCAAGGCCTATAAAATAGGTCACCGAGGGAGACCAGCTGATTAACCGATGCCTCTCATGTTTGTTGCACAAAACCCATTATTGTGAACTGACTTCCATTATGAAAACGTAAACAAAGTTCAAATTTTTTGACATTAGACTTGGGGAAAAACAGCTGACTTTCGCTAGCTGGGTGAGCTTATTAATAGATCTTGGTTTCCCCCATAAGTCTGGGTTTATACATGCAACATTTGTAAGCATCTCTGCTGAGTTCTTAGAAGTGAGAGATATAAAAAGTGACACGGATGAAGAAATTCTAAGGAAAATCGTAGAGAGCAGCAGCAGTGTTGCTTAAAAAAGTTGAATGTATAAACCCAGACAAAGTAATTTATGCTAATGGCAATAATGGGCTTTGACAATCTCAATTTTTTTGAATTATTTTGAGAAATGTTTTTTTAAAACTTTGGTCTAAAAATTTAACCTAAAGAAGCTGAATTTTGAAATGGTAATACGCTGTGATGAACGTACAACAACATCGAGGTAATTTGGGCTTAAAAAATTCAACTTTTTATGAATATTTTTATAAAGATTGTATTTCCTCCCTAGATCGACATTTTGTAAAAAATATTTGAATCAAAAGTGTGAAAAGTGTTCGTTATTGAAGAAAATTTGCCGAAATATTTTGAAGGATTATTGTCGGAAATTGTGTCGGGAGAAATATTCCATATTTGAGGGAGGCAATAGCATAAATATAAGGATTCGAAGAGGATCGAGGGTGAAAGGTAAGTGAGAAGGTCTAAGGACGGCAGGTTGTCTGGCAGGAAGAATTCCCATATGGATATCCGAACCTCAGGATATTTTGGAAATAGACAGAAAGGGATAATTTTTATGGACTCCAGAAGGCGCCAATAAACCGGAAGCTATTAAAATGGACATATTTTAAGCAGAGGCCAGACTACCTCCATCAATAACTTGTCAAATTCGCCTGCACTTTTACGTGGATTTTTTTTTAGATTCCCAAGAAGTCACTGATCGCTGCGAGATGGTATTAGATCCATGCAAGCATAGATGCTTTGATACAGGCCAAAGAAATTATGGTCCAAATATGACTGACGGTAATAATTGTTCTTCGGAAGAAAGAAAGAATCTCGAAAGAGGTTCAAAAAATCAGAAATGCTTAACATCGGGAGAGAAAATCGATACTCACAATTTAAAGGCAAATAACATATTCAAAAAAGATAAAGGAAATCAAAGTCAAGTGGAATCGAAAATTCCCAAAGGAAACCTATCGGAAGACAATGTTGAAGGGAAGAAGAAGAAAAAGAGAATTACAAATAAAGCAAATCTTGAGGATACCAAAACGGAAGATCCCACAAAAACTACTAAAGGAATAGAAAAGTCAAAGGGAAAAGAATCAATGGAAGGTGAGGATGACTCCAGGGATAAGGGGGATAAAAAGAAAAACAAGAAAACAAAAGCAGATGAGGGTAATGATTTTGAGGAGAACCAGAAACATAAGAAGGCAAAGAAAAATATTAAAGATGTCGAGGAGGACACTCCGAATGTAGATAAACGAACTAAGAAAAAATCAACTAAAAACTCCCCCGATTTTCCCACGAAAGATTTATCCGGCAACGAAAATGCATTGAAAATTAAAAATACTAAATCCAATGATAAGAAAAACAGGGACCAGGAACAAAATTTGCAAACAAAAAAGGAACGCCGAACAAAAAGTCCCGACAAGTCGTCTTCACCTCAAAATAATAAAAAATCCCATAAACCCCCCAAAAAACTAATGGTTAGCAATATTATAAAGGATTTGCGTTGGAAGGTACGCAATGGTTTGGATATTAGAGCTCATAGGGGTTCTGCACATTCCATAAAAATCAAATCCCACAAGAGGAAAGTTAAGGCTCTGCAAAAGCGAAGAGATAAGGAATCGCGGTTTGATGAAAAGCCTTGGGATATTTTAAGAGCCGCCATGGAGCAACGTGAACAGTGGTAAGTTAGAGTAGTTTCAGGGGAAAAATAGAGAATCATAGTATATATTTTTTTTAAATAATGTTTTATTTGTCTAATTTTTCAGTGACCTAACCAGCAAGGTAACCACAACAACATTTCCATGTTCATGCAATTCTTTCGACTGTGTTCAGTATGGATTTTCGCAATAGAGAATGGAATTAAATTTTGATTTGTTTTGCTTCAAATAAATTTTTAAATATTTTGGAAAGTTCCGTTTATATAGAATTCGTGGAAAAGGGTTCATCGGTATTATACGAGGGAATAGCAGAAAGTAATATTCCAATTGATGCTTTGTGCTGAAAAAATTATGGTGCTTTGTGCTGAAATTGATGCTTTGTGCTGAAAAAATTATGGTGACAAAAAGAAATGTTTATTTGTTAAAAATCAGAAAAAGATCTAGGATCTATGTGTAGAAGTACTGATATACTCTGGGACTATCCAAAAACATGGACCGATATTTTCTGTTTTCAATATGTCTAGGAGAATTAACAATGAATGTGCAAAATTCCAAAACTGCATGTTAAAAACCAGTAAGGAAAGTAGTAAAGTCGGACTGGGCCGACTATATGATACCCTTCACCACTTTGGGTATATATATATATATATAAACCTATATCTGAACCGATTTCATGGAAACTTGCCAGAGACTAATTTATATAACATCAGTACGTTGTGTCAATCGGCCTAGCTATGGAACTTTTCACGAAGCTTAGCAAAATCATTCTAGACTTAATTCAGTACCCTATACCAAAAATCGTGCAAATCGAAAGATATATAGGGTGTTTGGTGCACCAATTACCTTAAATCGGATGAACATACATATGGGAGCTATATCTAAATCTGAACCCATTTTCACGAAACTTGGCAAACATCATTCTAGACCTTATTAATTACGCTGTGCCAAATTTCGGGCAAGTCAAAAGATTTCCAAGGACTTTAGTGGACTATTTAACTAAAATCGGGCGAAGTTATATATATGGGAGCTATATCTAAATCTGAACCGATTTTCACGAAACTTTGCACATATTATTCTAGACATAATTTAGTACGTTGTGCCAAATTTCGAGCAAATCAAAATATTTTCAGGGACTTTAGTGGACTATTTACCTAAAATCGGGGGAAGCTATATATGGGAGCTATATCTAAATCTGAACCGATTTTCACGGAACTTTGCACATATCATTCTAGACTTAATTTAGTACGTTGTGCCAAATTTCGTGCAAATCGAAAGATATATAGGGACTTTGGTGCACCATTTACCTTAAATCGGACGAAGATATATATGGGAGCTATATCTGAATCTGAACCGATTTTTCCCAATTTCAATAGGGTACGTCCTTGGGCCAAACAAATGAGCTGTGCCAAATTTCATCCAATTCGGATCATAAATGCGACCTGTACTTTGTTTACAATTTAACATGGACAGACAGATGGACGGACGGACGGACATGCATAAATCGACTTAGAAAGTGATTCTATGCATATTCTCAAAAGGAACCATGGGTCTATCTCGATTATTTTTGCCTGTTACAAACATATGCACAAAGACATAATACCCTGTACCACAGTATGGTGAAGGGTATAATAACTATCTCTATCATGATTTCAAGAGACAGATCGCCGGAAGTTATATTCTGCGAATTTGGTTTCTTTTGCTACTTCGGCTATATGTCGCGCCCTTACTCCATTGGTCCATGAGTTAGTTTCGGTTATCATTATACCTTACATACATATGTTGTCAGTGTATTAAAGCTTCGTGTAGCCCCAAGTGCCTGTAACGCCACGAAATATTGGTCCTAGACCCACCCCTCAGATATATCGATTAGCTGAGTCAATCTAGATGTGTGTGTCCGTCCGTCTGTCCATTATAATTTGTAAACACGATACAGGTCACGAAGTTTTGCATGTAGGATGGTTCTGGCCAAAGAAGCTAATGATCGTTCAATATTTAGTGGATGAAATATACCAAAAACTTTATTTTTGTCTGTTTTTCTTGTCGCTCTAGAGGCCACAAATATAACCCGAAATTTTAAACAGAGAGAGGGATCTCTCTATTTGAAATGTTACACACAGTTCCGATTATGGTCGAGGACGACTCCTTTAATTTTCGGAGATGATCAGATGATATTTAGCGGTTAAAATAGACAAAAAGACTGAATTGTTGTGTGTGTGTTTTTTTAAGTCGCTCTATAGGCCATAATAATAAGCCGACAACACATCACAGGTGAAAGAAAATCTTCCAAAAATGTGTCAGGGTAAGAAAGAGGAGCTTTTGACCTCTAATAGATTAAGAAGTTGGAAATACTGTGAGGTATAGCTCAGGCACGGAATATAGATCTGCTGAAAATTAGAGTTCAGTGGTAGTTGCGTATGGTATAATATAGTCGGCCCGCCCGACTATCCGCTCACTGGATAAAATTACTTCGAGTAGTAGTTCATTTTGAGTATTGGGGTGTATAATTGATATCAACACTCATATGCTCTAAGAGGGCTACTTCTTAGCTTAGCAGAAACAGAAAAAATTAAGTGTTATGGAAACTTCCATCTCTGTTATGAACACATGTTAAATTTTGTTTCGATCTGGCAACTCCCTCATATAGAAACAGGTGTTCAAAAAAGACTCATCCGCAATTTTTATACCCTTCACCACACTGTGGTACAGGGTATTATGTCTTTGTGCATATTTTTGTAACAGGCAAAAGGAAATGAGATAGACACATGGTTCCTTTTGAGAATATGCATAGAATCACGCACGAAATTAAGGCCTTTAAAGCTTCTAAGGCATTTTAAGGCCTTTAAACGCTTCTAACGCCTAAAAACGCATTTTAATTTTCGGTGGTCTAAAAAGGCATTTTAAGGCCTTTAAACGCTTCTAACGCCTAAAAAACGCATTTTAATTTTCTGTGGTCTAAAAAGGCATTTTAAGGCCTTTAAACGCTTCTAACGCCTAAAAAACGCATTTTAATTTTCTGTGGTCTAAAAAGGCATTTTAAGGCCTTTAAACGCTTCTAACGCCTAGAAAACGCATTTTAATTTTCTGTGGTCTAAAAAGGCATTTTAAGGCCTTTAAACGCTTCTAACGCCTAAAAAACGCATTTTAATTTTCTGTGGTCTAAAAAGACATTTTAAGGCCTTTAAACGCTTCTAACGCCTAGAAAACGCATTTTAATTTTCTGTGGTCTAAAAAGACATTTTAAGGCCTTTAAACGCTTCTAACGCCTAAAAACGCATTTTAATTTTCTGTGGTCTAAAAAGGCATTTTAAGGCCTTTAAACGCTTCTAACGCCTAAAAACGCATTTTAATTTTCTGTGGTTTAAAAAGGCATTTTAAGGCCTTTAAACGCTTCTAACGCCTAAAAACGCATTTTAATTTTCGATGGACTAAAAAGGCATTTTAAGGCCTTTAAACGCTTCTAACGCCTAAAAAAACGCATTTAAATTTTCTGTGGTCTAAAAAGGCATTTTAAGGCCTTTAAACGCTCCTAACGCCTAAAAACGCATTTTAATTTTCTGTGGTCTAAAAAGGCATTTTAAGGCCTTTAAACGCTTCTAACGCCTAAAAAACGCATTTTAATTTTCTGTGGTCTAAAAAGGCATTTTAAGGCCTTTAAACGCTTCTAACGCCTAAAAAACGCATTTTAATTTTCGGTGGTCTAAAAAGGCATTTTAAGGCCTTTAAACGCTTCTAACGCCTAAAAAACGCATTTTAATTTTCTGTGGTCTAAAAAGGCATTTTAAGGCCTTTAAACGTTTACATTAAACGGCGTTAGAAAAGGGTTTTAATTTTTCCTGTGGATATATGTCAAATAAAGGCATCATAAAGTAGGTTAACCCGGTAAAAAGTTCTAATGTATATGCCGTTTTAAACGCTCTTAACGCCTAAAAAACGCATTTTAATTTTCTGTGGTCTAAAAAGTCATTTCAAGGCCTTTAAACGCTCCTAACGCCTAAAAAACGCATTTTAATTTTCGGTGGTCTAAAAAGGCATTTTAAGGCCTTTAAACGCTTCTAACGCCTAAAAACGCATTTTAATTTTCTGTGGTCTAAAAAGGCATTTTAAGGCCTTTAAACGCTCCTAACGCCTAAAAAACGCATTTTAATTTTCTGTGGTCTAAAAAGGCATTTTAAGGCCTTTAAACGCTTCTAACGCCTAAAAAACGCATTTTAATTTTCTGTGGTCTAAAAAGGCATTTTAAGGCCTTTAAACGCTTCTAACGCCTAGAAAACGCATTTTAATTTTCTGTGGTCTAAAAAGGCATTTTAAGGCCTTTAAACGCTTCTAACGCCTAAAAAACGCATTTTAATTTTCTGTGGTCTAAAAAGGCATTTCAAGGCCTTTAAACGCTTCTAACGCCTAAAAAACGCATTTTAATTTTCTGTGGTCTAAAAAGGCATTTTAAGGCCTTTAAACGCTTCTAACGCCTAGAAAACGCATTTTAATTTTCTGTGCCTAGAAAACGCATTTTAATTTTCTGTGGTCTAAAAAGGCATTTTAAGGCCTTTAAACGCTTCTAACGCCTAGAAAACGCATTTTAATTTTCTGTGGTCTAAAAAGGCATTTTAAGGCCTTTAAACGCTTCTAACGCCTAGAAAACGCATTTTAATTTTCTGTGGTCTAAAAAGGCATTTTAACGCTTCTAATTTTCTGTGGTCTAAAAAGGCATTTTAAGGCCTTTAAACGCTTCTAACGCCTAAAAAACGCATTTTAATTTTCTGTGGTCTAAAAAGTCATTTCAAAGCCTTTAAACGCTTCTAACGCCTAAAAACGCATTTTAATTTTCGGTGGTCTAAAAGGACATTTTAAGGTCTTTAAAAGCATCTAACGCCTAAAAAACGCATTTTAATTTTCTGAAGGCCTTTAAACGCTTCTAACGCCTAAAAAACGCATTTTAATTTTCGGTGGTCTAAAAAGACATTTTAAGGCCTTTAAACGCTTCTAACGCCTAAAAAACGCATTTTAATTTTCGGTGGTCTAAAAAGGCATTTTAAGGCCTTTAAACGCTTCTAACGCCTAAAAACGCATTTTAATTTTCGGTGGTCTAAAAAGGCATTTTAAGGCCTTTAAACGCTTCTAACGCCT